GATTAATGATGATGTCGGAGCAGCAGGAGGGGAGACAGTAACTGTGAGTTATATTCTCGCAGCTGGCTGCAGCGAGCAGAGCGCTGTCACAAACACTTACTGCACTCAGGCAGGGTTTATGAAAATCTGTTTTTGCTGAGCAAATATTGACCCAGTGCTCCCTCCCTTACTGTGAAGATCAGCTGCCACACCTAGTCACACACTCCAAATATATACAAAGACAAAAAGCAAATCATTTCCATAACAAAGGAGGATCAGAAGTGTGTGCCAAAAATGGGGGTTTGGTAATTAAAGCGGTACTCACGAAGTCTGAGAAATAAACACAATGATTTCTTTAAAGTTTTTACATCTGGATTAATTAGGGTCAGCACGTAATATTAACGTCTCAGTGTTGAAAACAATTCTATTACAATATTGTTTTCATTTAGGGTAAGCTCGGCGCTTTTAATAGTTCAAAAGTCAAGGTTCAGGGTTGAAAATATCTTTGTTATCAGCACGGATAGCAGAAGAAAGACAAACAGGAACACAAAGGTAGATTATGCCCAATAAAATAATGTCATATCATTTACAGCTGAGGGGAGTTGTTTCTGCGGCTGATAAACGATAAGGTGAAAATAAACAAGAACAAAACACTCTTTTTCTGCCCAGTTTTCAAAATTCTCTGCAAAAAAAAAAAAGAAAGTACTGAAGAAATGTGTTCATTTTGGTCAGAATGATCGTGAATGGAGTACTGAAGAAATGTGTTTATTTTGGTCAGAATGATCGTGAATGGAGCAAAATGTGTTTATTTTAGTCAGAATGATCGTGAATGGAGTACAGGTGTATGAAGAAATGTGTCAAATCCATATGAGCTCATGGTTTGTTTGTTCAGTCTCCACCCTGGGTGTAGTCCAGCCGTAGATGATCTGCTCAGTGAACGGTCACAGACATGACCACGTGGAGAAGCACCGTGGAACTGTATGTACAAACACTAACAGTCCAGTCCTGCAGCTAACATATAATGTCAAATCTAGAATGTTCTTTCTTCCACTTGAGCTGTTGATCTTCTTCTTCCTAAGGTGGAGCTCTGATGTAAGAGTGGGTGGATGTTTGGTTTTAGTAACGCAACATGAGATTATTAAAGTTAAATGAATCTGAAATCCAGCTGCTGCTGTTGCTACGTTTATAAACTGCACTTTCAGTAATAACATAGAACTCAGTATAAGTTACTTCAAACTATCATACTGTACATGAATACATTTTTAAAGAAAAAAGAACGTATTTACAGTATACTGTAAATATATATACAAAATACAAATATACATACATATATAGTTATATTTATATATGTATGTAAATGTATGCATATTTACATATGTGTATATATACATATATTTAGTATACATATATATATATAAATATAGACATATTTTTGTTATTATATATTTGTTCGGTGTTATATATGTATATATATATATATATGTGTATGTATATATATACATTCATACAGTTAATTGTGACAATCTGAATTAAGCACAGTTGTAGATATGAGTGTGAATGCTCCAGCAACAACCTTTGACCCAGAAAGGAGATGAGGATCAGATATATATATATATATATATATATATCTGTTCCTAATCTCCTGTCTGGGTCAAAGGTTGTTGCTGGAGCATTCACACTCATATCTACAACTGTGCTTAATTCAGATTGTCACAATTAACTGTATGAATGCATATATATACATACACATATATATATATATATACATATATATATACACACACACACACACACTGATAAAAATCAGTTCCGTCCTGTCCTACAGCAGAGACTGTTTTTTCCCCCGTGTCAATTCTCTCGTCTGCGCTGCTGCTTGTCTGTCATGAAAACAGTGAGGTTGTTTTTTGGGGCCACATGCGGCCCGCCTACCACTATTTGACACCTCCGATCACCACTGTACTCCACACAAAATACCCTCTAAACCCCCAGCGTGTGTTTGTCGAGGCTTCAACAACATAAGGTCAGCGGCCCAGCTTGTGTCAGACCAGATCAGGTCAGTAGGTCTGTGACTGACAGTCTGACTGACTCAACAGACAAATGGATTGTTCAGGACGGCAGACTAATTATTATAAGTCACAAACAGTGAGTTATTAGCATAGTCAAGCCATATATTTACTAATATACAGCAGGAGCAACTGCTTTTTAAGAGGGAGTTAGTTTATCACATTGTGCTGCTTAACACAATATACAGTTCACATTTAATAAATACTTATATATTTGCATGTAAATACACTTATATGCTTATATGATGGATTTGAAAAAGTCTCTCAGGTGTGTCTTTATTTGTTATCAACTGTACTGTAATGTTGGAGAGATGACAAGCCTCTCTTGCGTCATCTGTCCTGGATGAAACCAGAGTCTGTGTCGACACCGATCTGACCCCAGAGCTCAAATCCAAGTGCACGCAATTACAAAAAAAAAAACTTGTTCTTGTTTAGCCTACATGTACTCGTTTTCCTGCAAACAGCTTTAGCAGCTTGAAATGTTTTGTTAATGTGAAGTGACAGTTGACGGGCGGGTGCGGGTCAGCGGGTGTGTGTTTTGTTATCCCACGACAGAATGAGCACTGACCCTAACCCCCTCAGGGGTTCACTCAGAAGAGCATTGACAAAACATGTTGAGCTGGCATGAAGTAGATGTTGACTCCAAACACAGATCAGTTTCAAAAACAAACAGATTTGTGCCTGTGAGACAGAGCAGAGGGACGCACTAAAACTATTTCAAGAGGAAAACATCAAGAGTTCCTAGAAATATCCTCACCTCTAAAAACCTCAAAGACCCGCTTCTCTACGGAGGCAATACTGTGAATGAGACGACAGGTTTTCACTCTTGTCGTTCCACGTACGAAGCTGCTGATTCAACAGAGCCAAACAGATGTTTGCAGGAGCCAAGGTGATAGGACAACACCACTCCTCAAACATCTCAAAAACCTCAGAGCCGACTCAATTACCGACCGACGTCTTTTCAAGTCGACGGCTCAGGCCGTGTTTGCAGCAGCAGAGATAGCAGTTCTCAAACAACTCGTTTGTAATCGTAGTCCAAACACTTGACCTTCCAGTGAGAAGCTGAGATGTTACAGAACACCTGTGTTGATCTTTGTGAGGACACAGACGTCATTATTCTCCAGTCAGCCGTGGAAATCTTTACAGCAGGAGTTCCTCTCTAACTACATAGGTGTTGATTTAAAAAAAATAACTGCAGGAGTTTGTTTTTTTTTTAAGATAATTCAGTTAATAAAAAACAAACTCTGAGGATTTCTAAGTGTGTCCAAGGTCACAGTAAGAGCCTCAGTCCTACCTTTTTTGTCAGTGCAGCCAGTGGAGGAGGATCAGGGAGTTGTTTCTAACTGACTCGCTGCTCTGTCTGTTACGGGAAGTAAAGGTAGATGGGAAAACACTTTTTTCCCCCTGGTCTCAACCAACCAATCCCTCCTTTTTGTTTGACATTCCTCATGGTCACACCCATTCCAGCTTCAACTACCTGGAAAGAGCTTTTTTCCCTCCCCTCCAGGAAGCAGGGTGAGGGTTAGTGTATTGTCACAACATAACTACGTTTCCCAGTCTACACTCAAAGGATCAAATAACCTTGTTAGCAGCATTGTTCTGGGTGAAGTACAAAAGACAAGCTCCTCCAGAACTGCTACCAGCTAACAACTACCTGGACACAGAGGACGTTAGTGACGTGGAAGAGTTGATTTTAAACCAGAGTAAATAGAGATAAGAGGTCGTTGTGTAGTCACAAAGTTTACCTTTAAAGTCTTTGAGAAGAAAGAGATCAATTAAAAACAAAAAAACCCACAAAATATATATAATATATTTGTAGTCAATATATATAAAAATGCCTATATATATATATATATAAACATGTTTATAAATATTTATATGTATATCTATATTTGCATCCACATACATATCATCATTCATATAAATATATAAACACATACCATATACAGTATATCTACATATATACATATATGTACATATTTATATATACATATAGAGTATATATACATATATACACATATATACACACATATATATACATAAACACATATATATACATACAACATATTTATTGCTGAAAACAAAACCTGCCATGATGGCGTACATCAACTTTAAGTGAGTTTACAGTCTACTGTCTCTAGGTCTAGGGCGGGTTTGTGTACTGACAACTCAAACAGTACTGTATACTCAGAGCCCAGCTAAATCAACACGGCCTTTGATGATGCTCTGAGCTAATAATTAACTTGAAGGTCACGTGGAAGCGTCTCTGGAATACTCCTGGAGGAAACACCCAGAGCAGCAGGGCAAAACACTACACAGTATTTGTAACATGTGTAGTATTATGTTCATGATGTACTACAAAAAACTTTACTGTCAATAAATGGACAAAAGTGGTTCTAAGATTATCCTCAGGTTTGATAAAGTTTCTGCGCTGATGTTGGTAAACAAATCATCTCCATCGTTTCCTTAACTCTCCTTGCCTTTCCTTTGTTTCCCCGACCGATGGTCAGGGTTTTCATTGGCTGTGTTAGAGCTGGACAGTTGGACAAACGAGGAAGACAAAGTAATTGTCTCCCATCCTTGTCCTACAGTTTTGTCCCGAGTTTGTTCCAACCTTCCAGCAGACTGTTGTCTCCAACTGCTGTGCCATTATCTCCATCTGCATTGTCATCTTTTAATTTTTCTACTGCCATCTGTTGGTCATGTGCATCATGATGCATCTCTACTCCTTTCTTTTACCAAAATACGGTGCATCTCTACTCCTTTCTTTTACCAAATATTTCTTCACATTCCACAACGTACCTAACATGTATTCTTCTTCTTCATCCTCTGGCCTTCACTGCAGCTGCTGTTTTTTAGATCAGAGGTGTCAAACTCAAGGCCTGCAAGCCAAATGTGGCCCGCCAAATCATTCTGTGTGGCCCGCGGGATCTTAAGTGTTTAAAGTCCATGTTGACTTGCGGGATCTTAAGTGTTTAAAGTCCATGTTGTTAAGTTTCTTAACTTGGTATAGTTAAAACCAGCCCTTCAAGGGGAACTGTATCGCTGATGTGGCCTCAGGGTGAAAATGACTTTGACACCCCTGCTGTAGATGCTTTACTGCCATCTACTGGTCACCAGGTTTGATACTTTTTTGTCCCTTGGGTGTTATTTTTTTAGTGACTACGTGTCAAACATATTTATTTTGAATGCATGCCTTTGAGTGAGCGTTTTGATTGTGAAGTTGTACAAATCGTAAAGCCGGATGTTTGCTTTTCAAATTTGCACAACACTGAATCGCAAAAGCCCACAACGGAGCAGCTCGAACCGTTGTGTTACTCTTCAATGGGTTTTGACCATAGTTTGACACTAGTTTGAAGACTGTTGGGAACAGACGTGAACCTGTGCTAACAGCTTTAAGAGTGAAGAGGGGTTGTAGGGGAAGAGTTTCTTCGTCCGCAGCCTCATCACCACCGCTCTCAGCTCTGACAGACAGGCCAGGGCTCGGGCTGATGTTTCACAACCTGGGATCTGTCCTGACTGAGGAGCCACGGCAGTCAGAGCCCCCGTACATTCAGAGGAAGTATATTGTTTGTGTTTGACGAACGCCGTTGCTTCTGCAGTTTCCTGTTTCTCACACACAGACGTAGCTGGATCCACTTCAGAAATGTCCATATCTTCTGACTCAGATTGGTCAGAACTGTCGTAATCTACCAGGCGAATCGCACCGCTTGGTTCCAAAGGTGGGTTCTGGACAGAGGAACACTCAGCTCCACTCGTTCTGCTTTTGCGAGTCACCGACTGCTGCAGTGCCACCGGTCTGCGTGACTTGTCAACTCGTTGACACGCTCTGCTGAAACCCTGCCAGTCATTTATGACGTGCTTGAGATAGCGCACAAAGTAGTCCAGGAAACAGGTTTCTGCAGATATGAGGAAGTCCAGGAGGATGCTGTGGTCGAAGGAGATGCTCTGCAGCAGGAGCAGGAAGTGACAGTGAGGATTGCAGCTGGAAGCACAGGCTGCCTCCTGCTCTGCCACGTCATCCAGCCCAGATGACGGTCTGCGGGAAGAAACCATGGTGAAAACCTGTCCCTCTGAGTTCGGTTGTTCTCTGACTAGGACACTTCACACTGCAGCGAAGGAGCATCTTCTAAGGCAGGGCTGTCAAAGTCAAATTTCACACGCGTGTTCTAAGGGCTGTACCATATTCTCAGTTGCTGACAGATTATCCAACAATAATGTGCTGAACATGTTGTGGAGCCTTGAGTTTCATTTATGTGGTCTGTATATGAACATCAAAGTCATGTTGAAGTAACAATGTCAACTACTGACACTGTCCAACATCCAGGTTCATTATTGGCTCTTATGGAGCTGCTTCTTCTTCTCCTTCTACCTCTGACGTAGACAAACGCTGGCTCGAATATATAAAACTTAGACAAACGCTGGCTCGAATATATAAACTGTTGGAAGTGTTTGTTGTCCAGTGTCCTGCCAGTTTACCATACCCAGCAGAATGGCATACACTACATTAATGCCCATGTGACCATCAGAATCTGCCAATTTAACTGCAGCCATATTTCTGTCACTGCCCAAACACTTCCATGGTTTAGTGGTGTTTCCCCCAGTGGAAGACGTCCCCGGGGGCTTGAGCTGCCCCCCTGCTGACTTTGGTGAGGGGTAAAATGCAGAGATTTGGTTGTGTGCTGTGTCACAATCACAAATAGTTCACTTTATTTCCTTAATAAAATATAACGCATTGTTGAACGTGGGGGCGGGGGGAATAACTATGATTCTTGTAAAAACCTCTTGTCAACAGAATCAAGGAAGTAAGTCTGAGGAATGATGTCAAAGCCACCACATTCCTCAGACTTACTTCCTTGATTCATGTCAAATAACAGAATACGGGGACTGCACCTTTGGGTCAAGTGTATCAAGTTCTACTGCACGGTCAAAACTGAAAGGACATTAAAAGGACTTGAACTAGGTCCTAACCTGGTGTCAAAGGTCATCCTCTAGAATTCTACAAATAAAGAATTATCTGAGGGAAACAGGGTTTAGATTTTAGATTTGATAAATAAAGATTTTTGTCCATTTGCCTCAGACCTTTTTAACTTCTTCTGGTATAAAATGTTTTGTTTATTTCCTTTTAATAACAGCCAGATTTCATGACTGTGTTCTAAAATATCAAAGATAATGTTTTACCTGTGATGTTGAAATATGGAGAGCAGGGCTTTGGCTGCCTCCACCATGTCATCGTCCTGCTCTCCAAACAGCACACTGACCCAGTGACACAGGTGGGTGACGTTCCTCAGCTCCAAACTGCTCCGCCTCAAGAAGGACCACAGCCTCTGCAGATACCCATAATCCTCTTTGGCACCATCTAGAGCTGCTGCTGCTGCTGTGGGAGGACACATGGAGGAGACATTAGAACAACCACTCCAGGTATAGCTGACACATCTGCCCCCTGCTGGGGACATGCTGCTGTACAGATCAAGAAATTTCTATTTATTGAGCCAGACTATTTGCAGTCTGCTGCAACTGTTCATATTAACAGTATTACAATAATTTCAAATGTAAAATAAACAATAAAGTCAAGTATATCTATCTATCTAGTGTTTCAATATTTGTTTGGTCCTCACCAGGTTTCCCAGCCCAATGAACGTGGACCTCCATGGACTTGAGAAGAAGCAGACTGACGGCTCTCAGCATCACAAAGTCTGCTTCTTCACCTCCATCTCCTCCGACGTGTCCGGTTCCTCCGAAGAACGACACAGACTTTACTTCAATACTCTGCAGCCAATCATCCTCCACTGCGGTCAGAACGGTCTGAGCCAACACGTTCACATCTGCATCAAGCTGCTGGTATTCTGGGATGTTAGGTAGAACTTCTCCGGAAGTCCAGTCCTCTCCAGACCTTTGAAGAACGGTTCGCTTCAGAAGCAGCAGAACTTTCTTCTTTACAAAGTACTGAGAGGAGCCGCTGATGACAGCGAGGAGAGCCGGGCAGCGAGTGTGGACCAACCTCTGACTGGGCAGACTGAAGCCACATCTCAAACCTGACGCAGTCAGAGCCTCCAGTAAGTCCAGTAGGAGACAGAACGTTGTTTCCCAGTGATTGCTGCTGGTTTTTGGAAAACTCGTGAAAAGTTTCTTCCCCTCAGGTAAAAACTCTGAACACAGAGCATTTAGACTGGAGTCAAAAGATGATACGAGGCTCCTCACCACTTCTAAATGAAACCAAAAAAAAGTGCATCATCAGAAAATTAGATGACAAGAATCACATTACTAATAGAATTGTCAGGGGTCAGGGGTCAGTCAACTTGAGCCAGAGTGTCATGAAGGGGTTAAATAAGGCTCTTCACGGACTTGACCCAGGTTACTGGTTAATGGGTTTGGAATGTCTGGAGTGTTATGAAGGGGTTAAATAAGGCTCTTCACGTTTATTTTCATTATTTACATTTACTTTTTTGTGAAAAATAATCTGTTAACATTTTTATCCTTATAATCATGTTACATAATCATAATTCAACATTGATTGATTGTGATTAATGATGATTAATACCTTGATGAGATGACTTCAGGAGTCTTTTTAGGACATCTGTGAGGGACCACAGACAGGAGTCCAAGTCAGCTCCTGGGACTGGACTCAGAAACGCCTCCACACACCTTTGCTGCCACACTGCATCAACGGTACCCTGTGAAAATAAAATACTGATGAATCACTTTTAATTCCAGTCTGTAATACCAGAAGAGGGCGCTCTAACAGGCAACTGTGTACAAACCAAGTTGTCCTAACCTTGGTCAGTGAGTCAGTTTTTAGGTAAAAAATAGGGATGTCCAATGTTAACTTTCTGCCTTGGCGAAACCAAGGCATTGCGTTATCGGGTTTTCATTATCAGAGGAAAAACCGATAAGGATTCTTACAAATTACAGATTACATAATTACATAAGTATGCTAATATTGGCAGACCGATATTATTAATTGTTAGCATATTATAACCTCCTTAGAAATAAAGCAATCAGTCTTACAAGTGAACTACAGCCATTCAAAAGGAAACATACCATCATGGCAGTACAAAAGAAAAACAAGTGGGAAGTGATGATGCCAGAGGAAAATAACAAATTTGTCTACAAATCAACAGTTAGTAAAGACCACTTTCAAGCCTATTTCTAAATGTGTCTCCACCCTGTTTCTATTTAGTACCTACAGATTTGAGGATGTGATAGACAACATATGTGGACACACACTTGGCACCAAGATGACGGATGATCTGGTCCTCAGTCTGGAAAAGATGGACCTGACAAGAAAAGACATTATCAACCAGAGTGTGTTCAGAGACGGCAGCTCAGTCACCAAAACACTTCACTGAACTTTATTTAAAACACTGTGCAAAGGAAATGCAATTACAAATTAGTGAAATCAAATTTAAATACATTTTCCTTTCTGCCCTGTCCCCAAAGAATTTGTCCCAAATTTAAAATTCATAAACAGTAGAAATGTAGGTATGCAAAGTTATATTAAGTTATTAATTGAATATAAATTTAAAAAGCGAAAAAAAACGATTGTTTTTTCCCATTGCAGAAAAAATGAAAGGAAAACATCAGGACATTGAACCCTGACCAGTGAGGACACTCCGGGGCTGCAGGAACTCACCAACTGCGTCATGACGTCCATGTCGCGAAATAGTTTTATTAAACACGTCTCAAAGAAGAGTGTGACGTCACCAGGTGTGTCCTGAGTCAGTAAGAGGTTCATGTTGTCAATGACAGTCAGACTGATGCAGCACAGCTCCGAGGTGCTCTGCTTCTCGCTCTCCACCTTCACGTCCTCGGCCGTTGAAGAGACGAGACCGCACACAGAGGAAAATAACACAGCGGCCACATCAGCGGGGCTGTGTTGAGGACACGAACCCGAGATGAGACACCTGTACGTGTCGGTCAGAAGTTTAAAAGAAAAACTCATGCTGCTCCGTAAACTCAAACTCCGCGGCTCTTCTTCATCCTCCACACCAACAGTGGACTATTCTTCTTCTACTGTATTGGGCCGCTTCTGCTTCTTCTTTAGTACGTTCATTAAGAATAGATTTAGTACATCACTGCCACCTATTGGAGTGGAATGAAGTTTCGAGAAAATGCATTTCATTCAACAAACAAATTAAGAATGGGCATGAACTGAAAATTTAAATAGTTAAACGTGTACGGATATCGATGTACATGCTTTTCATTTTCACTATTACATGTGTAACTGATATTTAATTCAATGTCAATACTGTCAAGTCAATCGAGAAGAAAATATGTTGCGAGTGCTGTACTGTATGGGCTGTAGAAGCAAAAAGAGAAAATATGTTGATGTACTGTATGGGCTGTAGAAGCAAAAAGTTGACTCGACTCTGTCCCAGCTCCGCGTCACACTCCTCTACACTTGGTGGCAGTAATGCACTCAAACGACGTTTGTCTACCATGAGTAAACGTCTAAAAGCAGAACGAAGAAGAGACTGCTCAGCAGCTGTATGTGTGTATGTGTGTGTAGATGTGTAGATGTGTAGTGAAAAACAAGTGGGGATCGGACAGCCCTGACTCACTTTACTTCTGAAGAAGGCCAGCAGAGTAAGAACTCACGATGCCTGCGGTCTCTAAAGGAGACGGGATGCGAGGTCTGGCCGTGTTTATCTCTGACATCAGGAACTGTAAGTTTGATCTGCGCCCGTTTTGGTGACTTGTAAGTCAGCGCGAAGTTGGCTTCCGATTCGAAGGAGTAAGGGGTGGGTTTAAGGGAAAAACGTTTTTTCAGGAATGTACAGTTAAAAAAAAGCCAGCGCGACTTTGGGATAAAGCAGACACAAAGAGTGTGACGTTTATATAAATTGTTCTTTCTTTAAAAAAGGAGAAAGACATGTGTGACTTTATTGACAGTCGGTTAGTCAGTTCTAAAACCACTTACATAGATCAATCCCATTTACTTAAGACGATAGTCGTAATGATTTTACGCTAGAATTAAATACAGTTTAATATAGTAAATACTGCGTTTTGAACATATGTAAATATATCATGAATGGTAGGTTCGAGTAATATGACAGGTCAAGTAAATACAATCTTTTTAAAATCAGAATCTAGTCCAACACGGTCTAGATACGCCCAAGCAATACATATTTCCCTTTTTAACTCCCCATCAACACAATGAAAAGTTAAAAAAAACATGAATATATATTACATTTTCTTTACTGACTGAATGTTTGTCTCATTTTCGTAGTTTAATTCTGTATCCCCATAAGTTTCCATTAATTCTCGCAGTAGGCGCTAACGTCAGCTCTCGTGGCTTTGGGGTTTCTTTCTAGAACATGTCAACAACTTCTGTAGTTTGTGGAGTTGTATTATAATTGGACATTGAATAAATGGGACAGAAAACCGCTCAGTTTGAGAGCGTTTTCTCCTAATTTAGTGTGGAGTTAGCTTCATGTGGCTAACGTCATGTAGAAGGGCGTGGCTCGCGTCGCTGAAATTGCACTGGAAGAGGCTGAGTCGGCAATTCTCCGTGAACACATAAGTGAATTTACGTACGTATATATATATATATATACAGCCACAGGAAGCACATATATTTATATATATACACTAGTCACACAATATCAAGTTATTACATTTTATCAAAAACTGTAATTTTTAGCTTATTTTTTAAGTAAAAGTATCAATACATGTAATACTAATTTCATCATTCATAAATTATTTTTCATTAAATTATTTACACAATATTTGACAATAAATGTATGCTAATAATCACATTATTGTCTCTTCATGGATTTAGTCATTAACCAAGAATAACTTTAGTTAAAAAACATTTTTATTGTGTCCGATGATAAAATGTATTTAGTTAATAACAATGCTATTTTACAATGTCACGACAGGAGACTTGGCAATGACGTCAACGTCCATCACCAGGCTCCTACTGGATTATTATATGTCGATCACAAATGTACAATAATTAATTTTATCAGTCTTTCTCTGGAAAGGCATTTTTTCAAAAAACATAAAATGTTTTTACTTAGTGGGAAGATTACTTACTTTGATTTAGTTTGAAACACAGTAGCTGCTGCTGAAACACCGCCTCCTCCCGTATCCGCACACATCCCAAC